AAGAGCTAGAGCTAAGATAATTAGCATGAACATCTTCTAATGAGTGTCTACCAAGTTTGTTCAAATAAAAGCCCGGGGTCAAAATTGGCCCTGCCCAAGGGATCATTGATTTTCCCTATATGCATATAGTAAGAACTTCAAAAATCTTTTTTAAAGAACCCAAATAGCTAGAGTTTATATTATAAGTTGAAACATCTTCTAGTGAGTGTCTACAAAGTTTGTTCAAATAAAAGCCCTGGGGTCAAAACTGGCCCTGCTCCAGGGTTGTCATTGTTTTTAACAGTATGTGTTAGTAAAACTTAAAAAATCTTCTTTAAAAAACCCAATAAGCTAGAGCTTTGATGTTTAGCATGAATCATCTTCTTATGGATGTCTTCCAAGTTTGTTCAAATAAAAGCCCTTGGGTTAAAACTGGCCCTGCAGGGTGGGGGGGGTGTATATACAGGTGAGCAACCTCAGAGCCATCATGGCCCTCTTATTTAATTATCTACCTTTATTATACATGTACTTAATTATGCTTGTCCAGAGAAATACTGGAAAAAGAGTTGATGAAATTTGATTAAACTTTTACACAGCGAAAATAATCAAGTGAAAGAAAGTGTTTTTTCAAATAACCCTAATTTTTGTGTCGCCTTGAAAAGGTGACATATAGGAGTTACTTTTGTCGGTGTCGTTGTCGGCGTCCCGGAGCATAACTCAGTCACTATAAGTCTGATTGACTTCAAACTTGGTATGCATGCTTCTTTTAATAACCTGAAGTGCAGTGCACAAGGACCGGTACTCTGCAGTTCTTATTTTTTGAGTTATTGCCCTTTGTTAATTTTCATACTTAAATTTTGTCCGGGCCATTTCTCTTCAACTAAAAAAGCTACGGTCTTGATACTTCATAGGATGATAGGTCTCATTAAGAAGAAGTGCAGTGCACAAGAACCAGTACTCTGCATTTCTTATTTTTTGAGTTATTGCCCTTTGTTTATTTTCATACTTTAATTTTGTCCGGGCCATTTCTCCTTAAGTATAAAAGCTATGGACTTGAAACCTCATAGGATGATAGATCTCATTAAGAAGAAGTGCAGTGCACAAGAACTGGTACTCTGCATATCTTATTTTTTGAGTTATTGCCCTTTGTTGATTTTCTTTCTTTATTTTTGTCCTGGTCATTTCTCCTCAAGTATGAAAGCTATGGACTTGAACCATCATAGAATGATAGATCTTATTGATAAGAAGTGCAGTGTTCAGAAACTGCTGCTCTGCACTTATTATTTTTTTAGTTATTGCCCTTTGTTATTTTTCATATTTCATTTTTGTCCTGGCCATTTCTCCTAAACTACATTGTTCACAAGGCGACACATCCGACTTGCGGAGTTCTAGTTTCTAGCTTAATTTTACAATTATCATCTCTTAAAATACATGTTCAACAACTTTTAAAATAATGGTTGTCTGGAGTAAATCTTTTCAATGATATCACACTCAAACTAAATACAGTTGTAGAGACTAGTGAGCAGAAGTCTTGTGTCAAATAACCAAAATTCTACATTACTTAGTTTTTTGAATTATCTCCGTATATATTTCATGATACTGTTCAGAGAGAGGATTAAAATATTGAAGGAATTTGATTGAAACTTTATAAACGTTATACAGTGAAAGAGATTAGCATGAGAATTGCAGTAAACAAAGGCCATTATAAGTTCTAATGACATGGTCACATTCATATAATGTGATGCAAAAAATATTGACCATTTGAGTGTTTACTTGATACTGATACAGAAAATTTGATATATATCACAATTGATTATTTTTTCATAGCTTTGTCTCCCTTTATAATGTCATGTGTTAAAATAGTCAAGCTTGCAGTTTCCTCTGGTAGCTCTAATTTCACTTGTTGCTCTTGTCAAAAAAGGCCAAGAACGGTTTATGATGGACCTACACATACAATGTAACCTAAATATTATATTTAACATGTGTGTCATAAAATAATTGTATCATCTACTGTTCATTTACTGAATTGTGCACTTTATATTTATCAACCGGCAACACCCTTCACTCATTGAATTATCTGCCCCGAAATAGAAAAAATAGTTATTTGATCCTTCATACGTCCCAACTGCAGTGCCTTCAGCACTTTGATTAACATGCGTTGTTGACAACGGAATTTTTAGTTTTCAATGCACTAAAATGGAAATATATTGTATTTTTATGCTCAAAACATTTTCTTTTTACATATCAAATGTTTACACTTCTATTCTTTCACGCATAAATTTTGACATACGAGCGTATTTTGATTTTGTTGTGCGTAACTGTGACGCACGAATTTTAAAAGTGATGCGTATTTTAGATTTTCTATGCGTATTTTACGCTTATACGCACGCTATCTGGAGCTCTGGACTTATGATAGACTAAAAATAAAAAGACCTTAAATTTAATAAAAATGAATTACGGAAGGAAATTTCACTTTTTGTTAATGACTATTAACTTAGTACTTAAGTTTGTATATCATAATTGTTATCCCTGTTTCTATATTTATTATCGTAAATGTGGAACAGGTAAGAATGCATTATTTTTGTTATCATAAATACTTTTTAAACAGTAAATATATTATATTCTGAAAATTCTGAAATTTTCTACCCTGTATTAGAAGGTTTAAACCTTTGTCAAGCAGTACCGATATAGTCTTATAGATAAGTAATTTAACTGAATGGCCATTGCAATCAGAAATAAAATTAAATAAAAGCATTGGAAATTTTATTAATATTTGTGATGTCAAATCATTATTTTTGTGACTAAAATTCAATATAAAAGAAAATTGTCTTTTCATAAAGTGAGACAACATAATAAAGACTAACAATAAGCATAATGATATTAGATATCAGAGAAGTTGCATGAAAAACATATTAAAATTAACATACATTGTGATTAGTGTTCTTCTTTTTTATTTTTTTATTTTAATTTATTTATATTTTTTTTTTAGGGGGGGGGGGATATATGTTTGACTGGATATAATTGTATTATCTTATAGTTCTTTACAGCTGTTAATGATAAGAATTCATAGGTGATTTTCTTTGCATTAAGTATGTAAACATTCTGCAAATTTTCTAAAATAAAAATAATTTATATTTATATATCTGGAGATTAAATATTATTTTCATTTGTTTATAAACAAAACTTATAATTGAGAAGTTTCTGTTTCCAAGACTTTTGTTTTAATTGGATTTTATCGAAAAACTATTTTAATGGTCCAATAAACAACTGATTAGTAAACTGTTGATGCTAAAGTGCAGTGTTTATACAACTGATTTAATGGTGATGTCAAACTGTTAGTTGTTGGTCTCAGTGTTTATACAACTAATTAGGTGATGAGATTGACTGTTAACACCACAATTACCTATGTTTGTTTAATGGCTACTGTTTAATAAATTGATAAAGAAATAATTCACAAGAATAATTAATTTTATACACATATTTTGCATATCGTTGTTTAAGATTTACATGAAATAACAAATATTTTAATTTTATATTTATACATACCGGTAATTGATATTTTTTATTATTTCAACAATTATTTTTTTGATAAAAAAATGATATCAAATTAATGACATTATTTTCATGTGGCTTATTTTTTATAAAAGAACTTCAAGATTTAAAAATTCAAAAGTAATAATAATGAAAATAATATTCTCAAGAATGAGCATAGTATAGTTTATATTATAGTTTATATAAGTATGAATTCCTTTTAACAATTGGGTGTTTTATTTTGAATAGTTACCAACCATATCTTTTATCATCACCTGTTAAACCATTTTTCAATGCAACAAAAATTTAAAAAATGTATATTAGAGAACTTAAAATGCTTATCTACAACAGAAAAAACATACATCAATATAAATAATCAATCCTGACATGGCTATTAAAAATGGAAAAATATTTGTTAACTTTCCTAAAAAAAAAATCTAAAAAAAATGGGAGTGAAACGTCCATACAATTGACAAATTGGGAGTGAATCGTCTAGGTGTGAACCGTCTTGGGAGTGAAACGTCTCAATAGTGGAATGTCTTGGGAGTGAAACGTCTGACATTCACTGCTTATCTATGAATGTCAGAAAAGGCCCTGCTATATTTTTTTATTTACAATGTTTAAAAAATTTTTTTACTTGAATCAACTAGACAAATTGTGGGCATTGCTTTTCCCTGATTGTACTAAGAGATAAAGCGCCAGTGATCTTCAGTTGCTTGTCCTGTTATGTAATGTCCCAGGTTGAAATTGTGCCATGTAATTATATGAATGAGTAAGACCTCAGTGATTTTGTTTCACTGTATTTTACAGTCGAATAAAGGTTGTTTCCCCTAGCCCAAAATAGTTACATTTTCCCCTAAAAATGCTAATATTGTCCCCTGAAATGCCTCATGCTCTTTAGTACCAGAATCATGACTTACCAGCATCTGGCTTATATCAGCTAGAAGAGAGCAATATGTCCCTATAGATAGCCTCTGCTATCTACCATGCATGTTAAATTGAATTGAAATTATTTATTTTTTATAAAATGTGTGGGTATATTCCATTTTCAGTTGATGGAATTTGATTTCAGGTTTCCCCCTTTTCTGCTTTATCCACTATATTTTCCCCTTCAGAAAGCCACAGGTTGTTTTGAAAAATTTGAAAAAATCACTGGACCTTAAAATTTGTGTCTTCATTATTTTAGAGTAATTTTTATTTAGTTAGATATAAACAAGTCAGTTTAAAGGCAATAAATTAAGACATAATGCAAAATCTTATGATAGTTTGATTGACAAACATAATTTGGAAACGAGTCCACTACATAATTGACATGAAAGCGCCAAGACAGATTAACGGTAATTTCGGTAAAAAGTCATTTTGCCTGGGATGAGTTAGGGCAGAAACTTATAGACTGAATTTTAGCAATTACCACCAATTGCAATAAATACTGAAACAATGAAACTTTCAATTGTAATATGTAACCTCTATTTTATTTTATTTCTGTGTAGGTTATGTTGACAGACAAATAGGTACAGAAGTAAAATCCAAAAAGAAAATTCAACGAGATGAACCTGTTTTGAACAAAACTAAGGTTTGTACATGTACTTTAAAATTTATAAATTTTGGCACGAATATTCAAAAGATATCGGATAATTGGGCTCGATTTTTCAACTTAGTGTCAGTGTTGATGAGCATTTGTTTGAGGTTTCAGGCTTACCCTGTACATTATAACTTGGACTGTTTCACAAGTGTTTAGGACTTAAAATTTTTATGTAACTCATTCATTAATTTGGGGATTTATACCTTTACTTCCCTTGTAGTTGTACTGAAGATAATTATGGAAATATGAGTATACATGTACTTCTAAGCTATATATTAACTTGTATATCTTTCATCTTTCAAGGTGCCATGTGATGTATGTGGTCGCATGTACAAAAAACGTGACCTGAAACAACATAAGAGAATACATGCTGAGAAGAAAGAGTTTACATGTGAAATATGCCAAATGGTAAGAATAGTAGGTTTAGCAAATCCCAATGTTCATGTGATTTTGTAACTATGTTTTTATTCTGTTTTCTTAGGGTTGTTCTGAATGTTTTGTAGTTTTAGGAAATAACAAGCATGTACAAAAGTGGGGTACCGGTGTGAATAAGCAAGTCTGCTGGTATTAATTATCTTCTGGAGTCCACTAAACTAGATATTTTCTGAATGTTTGATTTTTATACTTATCTTTAGTAGAGATGGAGTATCCTGTGCATAGACACCTATACTGCATAATAAACACTGGCACATAATATCATCTTTTGAATGAAATGACAGACACCAAAATAGATATTGACAATAATTGGGTAAAACATATTAAGAAAATCTGAGTTTATTAAGATTGTTACAATGATAAATTATTGTTGGTTTTCCCAGCTTAATGTCAATTATTATAAGTTTTCCCCCAGTTAAATGCCAATTATTATGAGTTTGCACAGCTTAATGTCAATTATTATGAGTTTTTTTCCAGGTTTATATATCATTTGCACCAAATCCTATTCCAATAATTTTATGGTTAATGTCGCGATAGAATACATGTACTTCTATAGCATGTGAGATGATGCAGGTGTCAAATAACACCTTTATTATATAATGTGCCGTTGAAATATTTTGATATTAATATTATTATAAATAGTTTATTAGATGTTTTTTAGTATGTCTGACAGTGATTTTTTTTTGCAATTTTCAAAACAACCTGTGGCTTTCTGAAGGGGAAAATACAGCGCGATAAATCAGAAAAGGGGAAATCAAATACTAACAACTTAGAATGTAATTTACCCAACATTTCATGAAATTTTCAATTTCATTTCACTTCAACATGCATGATACATAGCAAAGGATATCTATAGGAACAGCTTTATCTTCTAGCTGATGTAAGTCAGATGCTTTTAAGTCAGGGTTCTGGAGAAGAATGTGCACAGGGCATTTTTAGGGGAAAATATACCTATTTTTGGCTAGGGGAAACAGCCTTTATTCGGCTGTAAAATACACGAAAAAAAAATCACTGATGTCATATTATATAATATAGTTAGCGAAATTTTTATTATAGGTATTCAGGACAGCAAGCTGTTTATACGGTCATAGATTACATCATATCACTGAGAAAGGACATGTGTGTCAGTATTGTGGTAAACAGTTTAACAACATGCCAAATCTTCGTCAACACATCAGAACACATACAAGTGAGAGAACTCTACAGTGTCCACTGTGTCCAAAGATGTTCAGAAGTAATTACGTACTGAAAGACCATATATCAAGACATTCTGGTTTGTAATTTAAAATACTGTAAGTTTTAAATGTATTAAACTTGACATAACTATGATAACACGAAACTTTGGATTTCAAATTTTAGGGGTATGGTTAAGTAAACCTGAACTTCGGACGTGGTCTAGGTTTCTTTTTTACATTTGAGCCGCGTCATGACAAAACCAACATAGTGGGTTTGCGACCAGCATGGATCCAGACCAGTCTGCGCATCCGGGCAGTCTGATCAGGATCCATGCTGTTCACTATCAGTTTCTTCACTTGTTATAGAGTCTGTAAGCGAACAGCATGGATCCTGATCAGACTGCGCGGATGCGCATTTTCATTTTATTTTGTATAAATTCAAACTTGCATTGTAAATATTTTTTAAGTTACACAGGAAAGTGTAAGTTGTCACATAAGTGGTTCTATTTGCACCATATCTAGATAGATATATGTTTCAAACTGAGGAAGTGAACTTCCTGTACATGTATATCATAATATCCTAAAGGACTTGCGTGTGTTTGCATGCACTAATGATGATATAAATAAATTTTTCTAGTGTTTGCACTTGAAGTATGGTGTAATGAATGAAATATCCATTTGTACAAAACTAAAAGAAAAAAAGTGCTAAATGAAAGTAAAAGTTTCCATAATGTCTTTTCACATAAAGAATGATTTGTAATAAGCAAAAAAATAAGGCACTTTAGTCGCAGGTTAAGATTATATCAGGCTGAAGTGGTTTTGAACTATTGTGCAATAAGTAGGTACAAGAGTGTTACATCCTTTATAGTGAAGTGGTCTACAATACATATTGAAAGAAAACAGAAAGTGTATAATTTTGATATTCTTTTAAAACATTTCTTGATCAATAATGTTGATAATGATATAAGTACATGTACATGCAATATAGTACAGACATTTATATTTTGAATACACCCATAAACACTTAGACTTTCCATAATGAACTAAGTAAATAACAGAGATATATCGAGTGAAAAAATAGGAGTTGTTTCCCTCGTCTTCAAGTAAAATCATTATCTTTTATGCTAGAACAATACAAATTAAACCATTTTTAAATCGCTAGTTTGTTGTGATTTAATGTTGGATTTTAAAATCTATTACACAAATGGGAGGCTTTGGATCTTAGTTTTGTCACAGAATATAGTTCAACACATCTTTTGACACCAAAGTATTTAAATTAACTGTTAAGCATACCAAATGTATGTGAGACCATTTTACATCAGTTTAAACAGTGAGATACCCAATTAGTTATCTTTACTCGAAAAACTACTGTTAAGAATAGCCTGTCGTCTGTTTGTTCTGAAAGTGTTTATCGGTAATATTTAGTTCTAGAACAATATGTTGTCAGCTAAATATACATATTTCCTATCAGATCATATAGTGTATATCTCATACTGCATGTGATACTAAATACTGTCAACATAATAATCTATGTCTGTGGCATATTTTAAAGCTACTATCCCACACATTGTAGTTTTTTGAAATGAAATGTCATGACAAGATAAATTTTCACCTCGGGTTCGTACATTTATATGGAACTAGATGATTAATACATGTCTTGTCAGATGAAAAAATCATCTTAGTAAAGTTTTTGCAATGTTTATCCTGCTGCAATTTCAAACTGTTGCAAGGGAATATTGACTTAAATAATAGACATACCGGTGTACTGGTTGTAAGTAGATCCATTGGTTGCGAGTAGAAGTTAGAACAGTTGTTCGCTTGGTAAGTTTTTATCCTGAAAATGATTGATGCACAATTTATCATAGAAAATTATGTCTATAAAAAAAAGACAAAAAAGAAGAAAATGTCTCTGTTATCAAATGTGTCAAATGAAACATGACCACTGTTAGGTCACAGTTATTTATTAGTGGTTTTGATATTGAAAGTAATAATACAAAGGCGTTGTGTAGGTTCGTACAAAATCTCTAATAGTAATATATATAAAGAATAACAACATACGTCAGAAGTGATGTTGAAGTCAAATAGTGCGGTAAGACGTAACATAGATAATAGCGTAAATATATGTAGTTATCTTTTGTAGGCTATATGCATTGTGTACATAATTATATTTTAGGATCATGTGTTTAGTAGACTCTCGGTATTACGACATTTTACCTTTTCTGGCATGCTTTTCTGACCCAATGTTTTGTCTTGAATTCAGTGTATCAGTAAACTATTTAAATATTTTGCCAGAAACATGAGTTTATGTATTTCTTTTGCAGGTGAGAAACCATACATCTGTTCAGTCTGCAATCGCTCGTTTAAAAAGGCACAGGAATTAAAGCGCCATACAATGACTTTTCATTCGGAAGCACGTGAGCACGTCTGCAACATTTGTCAAAGAAGGTTCAAGTCAAAAAGCAATCGTGTAAAACATGAGAAAACACATGACAAGAAAGGAAATTCTTAACATATTTTAAGTTTCAAGTCATTTGAATTTTCGCTCTTCCGAGCACAATTGCTCAGAGGTGAGATATTGTGATGGCAATGTGTCTGTTAAACATTATCCACAATTTCTTTCAACAACATTTCCTCCCACCTAAACCACATGATAGATTTTGAACAAACTTCACAGCAATGATCCTAAGGTCGCCCTCTGAGACTTGTATAAAATTGAAGCCAGTCTGGGGCATAAGAAGGTCTCGTAAGCTAAACAAGCTTTAAAACTGATATTTTAATCATCAAGGAAACCACTATTTCTCAGAGCATAGATATTTCACACCAGAGGATAGATATTTCACATGTGTCATTGCATGTGACCTTATATAAAAGATATATAAATCTTTGCCCATGTAGTCAATATTGAACTTACCACACTGGTCACTTTTTTCATGAAGACTTATATACATGTACATGTACATGCAGTTAAATACAATTAAAACTTCTTGTGAGAAGAACTTAGATATTTTCCATGTAGCATTTCCTAAAGAAACTACATAACTTAATGGTTTATAAATTATTTAGCCTGGGTTAAAACACACATCCAACGATTCCTTATTACTCACTTTTGTATAAAAGACTTGTGACATTATCTGGCAATCTGTGGTGAGGCCATCATGACCCTCCTGTTAAATAACAACACCAGAAAACACTATAATAAAAGGTTTATTCATTGTTAGGTGCAAATCTTTAAGATAACGCTGTTTTATTCTACATTTTTTCGCAACATAAATAGATAGACCAGTTTGAAAGTTTTAAAACAGAAATAACTGCATTGGATGTTTTCAGCTAGTTTGGTCTCCACTTGTTTCTCATAATGATTGAGAAAGTCTGGATCTTTGACGCTATACTTTCTTTTATCAAATGCTACAAACGTAATGGCTGTTGCAGCTCCATTTTTGCTGAATATCAGATATTTGAAATCTTGTTTTTCTGCTCCAGTTTTCAGCCATTTGTAGGGGATATACTTAGTGGTTTTGTCCTTTATGTGTGACGAAAACAATTTGCGTGTTACGCCTTGCATGGTGGCGTCCATGGCATTTGTCAGTGCCTTTTCCTCATACCCCTCTAATATGTCAATGTGCTCTATTTCTAGGTCCAGCGAATTAAGAAATAGTGAGAAAAAAATTGGCTCAACATTTCTATAACTGAAAGAAGTGCTTGGTGCTAATCATTTCAATGTCTTGTTTTTTTTTTCATTTGCTCGATAGTTTTGACACTGTTTCAAATCCTGTGGTAATTTGTTAAATCGTCTATCTGTAGTAAACTTCACTTGGGATATTGTTTTGTGCTCAAGGTTTTATGTTTTCTACAAACTTTGGGTTGTTCTAACATAAATCTGTTCATTTACTAAGAATTTCCCATGTGATACATCATAATTGACCATGATGCCTGAATATTCAAACACAGCAACCTCTTTCGTTTAAAAATGTTCTCGACAGTTTTCTTACCAGGACACCCTCCTCTTGTTTTCAAGATTTCTTTTCAGTGGTGTATAGTACCGATGCAAGTTTACCATATCTGAGAGTTAAGAACATTTAACATATTGTCCCTCTTTCTTTGATTTCTTTAAGCAATTTAAGAGACTTTTGATGGTTGTGTTCGGTCTTGGCAGTATTCATTGGTCTTTGTTGGTCTGTATGAAAATATTAGTTATGGTTTTTCTTAAGTTGTAATTCATGATCCATTTCATTTAAATAAAAGCCTGGGTCCTTGGCAGCCATCACAGGGCTTTGATATCTATATTTGAAAGCGCACATCACTTCGAGAATCCCCATCCCACAGCACGAGCACTCTACAAGTTCATACGGGCTTGTACCCAGATATGGCATATTTTCACAAATCAAAAGTCCGCATTCACTGACTTTAAAATTGTCATGTGGTTAACACAATGTTAATGAGTATTCTGCTAACCGTCCAAATTAAACATTAAAAGCCCCAAATAATAGGAGGCTTTCCTGTTTCTTTCCGTACCTTGTACAAAGTTGTGGTAACAAAACATTTTCCGGGACAGAATGTTCTGTCTACACCGACAACACCAGCCTTGGATTTTACAAAGAATTTGAAATCAATAACTTGTTCTTCGGTGTAACAGATTATTAAGGGTAGTTCGTTGTACCTGGAATTATGATTTCCCCCAACGAAAGGATATTTATCGCATAATTTATTTATTTGTAATTTATTTTTCTTAAACATCTTTATCTTAAGAAAAATAACATTTTGCACTTTTTATATCAATTAAGAGGTCTTTGTTGGTCTGTATGCAGTTTGTGGTACAATATAAAACACATTTTAGTAATATAATTGGTTTATATGTGGTTTTGACAGTATATTTTGGTCTATGTCAGTCTTTGCAGTATTAAGTAGGACTGCTTTCCATGTACGGCAACCAGATAGTTTCACACAAGAAGGCCTTGCATTCTTATATTTTCCCGTTGACCCTTGTGTGCTAGATCTACAATGCTTCTCAGCAGATATTTGGAACACATGTATATTCTTGTGCCTTGTAACAGCACAGTTCCTTTTCCAGTATGTTCTATTGATTGTTCATCAAATAATTGTTCATATCATTTAAGTTCATTTGTTTTCCTGCATTTTTACTGTGTCCACATGTTTGTTGAAAAGGCGTTCATCACGCATTTGATTATGCATTCATCTTGTGTAACCTTAACCATATCTGATAAGCAAGTGTGTGTTGGGTTAAATAATTGTTCGCTTTAATTCGTGCTGACCATTTGTTTTAAAACTGACTTTAATGGGTGCAATTTTCCGCTTAATGCACAGGTTAAAGTAAACATCTTGGCATCCCGAAATGCAAGTCAAAAGTTTTAGATTAAAGTAATTAAATTAACTCTGCATTTAGAACTAGCATGGGTGCAAGTTGAAAATTTTTTAAAACCTGAACTTTTTGTTTGGAGCCAAGGGGCCGCAAGGGCCCCTAGTGGCTCCAGGGCAACGCCCAACAAGGGGTCCAGGGGGCCGGGGCACCCGGAAGCTCCTGCATTATAGCACATTTGAAGGCCTAAAATGCCAATTCCTGAATATCAGAAGTAGATGTAAGTTTATTCTTATTGCCCACATGACAAAAAGAAAAATGATAAAGTACAACTTTATTTCATGTCTTAAATTTCAATGAAAATAAAATACCACTTGGTAAAGGATTAAGAATATACATGAAAATTAGGCTTAGTGACTACATGTATTATCACCCAATAAATATTTAAGCTTAATCAACAATGTCATTTCAAACCTGAAGACATTAATTTTAATGCTCCCCGAAAAATTTCGGAGGAGTATATAGTCACTGCCTTGTCCGTCCGTCTGTCTGTACCGTACGAACCCAGAGGTACTTGTGTGACTGCGGGTAACAGTAAACTCTCTTTGATGCTATTCATTTCGTTTTGCTTGTGTGCCTTTTTTAAGCCTTGTGTGACTAAAAATGGCCAAAAAGATCAAAGGAAAAGTCACATAAGTACCATTTTGTCAGTACGTCTGTCTGTCCGCTTGTTTAGGACATAACTTTGAAACAACAAGAGGTATCAACATGAAACTTTGTAGGTAGATAGATCTTATTGAGTAGGTGTGCTGTGCACAAATACGTAACTCTGCCTTGCCTAATTTTTGAATTATTTCCCTTTGTTTATTTTTACACTTTGAACTTTGTCCGGAACATAACTCCTAAAGTAGAAGAGGTTTCAACATGAAACTTTGTAGGTAGATAGATCTCATTGAGAGGGTGTGCAGTGCACAAGAACAGTAACTCTGCCTTGCCTAATTTTTTAATTATTCCCCTTTGATTATTTTTACACTTTGAACTTTGTCCGGGACATAACTCTAAAACTATAATAGTTATCAATTTGAAAATTTGTAGGTAGATAGATCTTATTAAGTAGGTTTGCAGTGCACAAGAACAGTCACTCTGTCTTGCCTAATTTTAGAGTTATGCCCTTTGTTCATTTTGACACTTTGAACTTTGTCCTGGACATTACTCTAAAATTATAAGAGATATCAACATGAAACTTTGTAGATAGATAGGTCTCATTGGGTAGAAGTGCAGTGCTGAAGAATCATAACTCTGCCTTGTCTTATTTTGAAGTTATTGCCCTTTGTTTATTTTTACTTTTTGACTTTTGTCAGGGACATAACTCTAAAACTATAAGAGATACCAACTTGAAACTTTGTAGGTAGATAGATGTCATTGGATAGAACTGCAATGCTTAAAGAACCTAAACACAGCCTTGTCTAATTTTTGGGTTTTTGCACTTTGTTCATTTTTTTTATACTTTCCTGTGCCCAAAACCTTCTCGGGGAGCATCACCCGGTTCAACCGGATTTTGTTGTGTTGAGGGCAGCACTATGAAGTTCTTGCATGTCTAGTATGTGCTCACTGAGGTCTACTGATCTGCATTCCTCTGTTTGGATTGGCCAATTCTTGTATATCATGACAATTTTCCCGTCCACTTCCTTGAATACAAATTGATGAGGAGCTGAAATCCCCTAAATCAAACCTCTACAATGCGTCAGCTTTTCTTTGTAATCATATATTCCAGTTAAGCTGGATACTACTGGAGCAGGAGTGGTGCTGTCTCTGATGGCATTGTGCAAATCTGGCAATGTCGGGGCATCAACATGTGATTGGTGGGTGCTTATCCTACTAAAAACTTGATCTATATCTTCATGGGTATGACCCCTCATCAGGAATCCTAATTTCACCTGTAAATAGAAATCTGATAAATTTTATAACTTGAAAATCGTTAAATGTAAAATACAAATAAAAACAATTACTCAGAACAAGCACATTTATTACCCATTATGGTCTAATGTACGCTACAAATTTTTAGCTTGAACCCCCTTATTATTATGTGGAACAAATTTCCCTCCTCTGTAGGGAACAAAGTTAGTGGTGTAAGAGTAGTCTGATCAAAGTTGTGACCATTTAAGGGCCATAACTTTGACAAAAATCTTTGAATCAGAAAATTATGACGATTTGCATCAACAGACTTGGTACTAATCATTCCTGTAAAGTTTGGATGAAATTGCACCTAACAAAAGAACACATCTCTTATTCAAGGGCTGAGCAAAAAATCTGTGTAATATGCACAAGAACTTGATCAATGTAAATTTTCATTGAAATTGCAAAGTGGTATAAGAGGAGCAGTTCAAAATTATTTTTTAAATCATTAAAGTAAATAAATTCAAGAGCACTCACTAGGCATGGGCAATGACGGACTTTTTACTTTTTCTAAATGCAAAAAAAAAAGAGTGTAATCATCTTTTAAAAGAAAATTAAAGGTATTTTTTTTCTTATTCAGTCTAGGAGAAAGTTACGAAAATAAAATCAAAAATCAATGATTGACTGTCAAGGTCATGTACAGGTCAATTTCATAACTATATAATTCCACTTATCTGTTTCAGTTTGGTCATAAGTGCTGTTTTGTCCACATATGAGTCAAATCCATACATAAATAACAAAATGATGACAACTTCAAAATCAAATACTTTGATCTTGACATTTCTTACAGTCAAAATCAATTCAACCTTTAAGAATGTCTTCTGAAGAAGGTTATTTAATCCAAGAATGAAAAAAATCCATTCATCAAATACAAAGTTACAGTCAATTATAGCGATAATCAGTGAAAATAAAATAATTTCACATTCCAGGTTAAAGTCATATATATATCAAGGTCAGTTTGAGTTTGATACACTGTAACACATGAAGGTCCTGACCTAAGAGATGTTGTGCCTTAATATGAAGTTACTGAAACTATAAGAGATATCATCAGGAAACTTTATAGATAGATAGATCTCATTGAATGGAAGTGCAGTGCAAAAAAACATAACTCCGCCTAAAAGAACCTAAACACAGCCTTGCCTAATTTTGGGTTTTTTTTTGCCCTTTGTTCATTTTTATGCCACCGCAGCATCTGCGATGCGGTGGCATATAGCGATTCACCTGTGTGTATGTATGTGTGTGTGTGTGTGTTTGTGCGTGTGTTATATAGATTATATAGTGAACTTAACTAGTCCAATTTCAACCAAACTTGGCAGGATTGTTCCTTGGGTGAAGGGCTTCCAAAGTTGTTCAAAGAATTTCATTCCATGCAGAAATCTGGTTGCCATGGCAACCAAAAGGAATTATAAGAATGAATGTAAAAAATCTTCTTGTAAAGACCCAAAAGGCCTAGAGCTTAGATATTTTGCATAAGGCCATTGATTTTTACTATATACATATAGTAAAAACTTAAAATACCTTCTTGTAAAAACCCAAAAGGCCTAGAGCTTAGATATTTTGCATAAGGCATCATCTGGTAGACCCTTACCAAGATTATTCAAATTATAGCCCTTGGGTCAAAATTGGCCCCGCCCCGGGGTCATTGATTTTCACTATATGTACATATAGTAAAAACTTAAAACACCTTCTTGTAAAGACCCAAAAGGCCTAGAGCTTAGATATTTTGCATAAGGCATCGTCTGGTAGACATCTACCCAGATTATTCAAATTATAGCCCTGGGGTCAGAATCGGCCCGCCCCAGGGGTCATTGCTTTTCCTTATATGTATATAGTAAAAACTTAAAAAAAATTCTTCTAGCAATTGACAAATGTTAGAGGTTAGATATTTTGCATGAAACATTGTGTTGTAAACCTCTAGCAAGATTGTTCAAATTATAGCCCTGGGGTTGAAATTGCCCCCGCCCTGGGGGTCATTGATTTCAATATATACATATAGTAAAAAAATAAAAAAAATGTTATTATCTGAAGGTACAAGGCTTTAATATTTGTTAAATAATATCATCTAAAGGTACTCTACCAAAGTTGTTCAAATTTTGCCTCTTGTGTCAAAATTAGCCCCGCCCTTGGGAGCCATAGGTATATCTTATATGTGTATAGTTAAAACTTAAAAAATCATCTTCTCTTAATTTACAAAGGATAGAGTTAAGATATTTTGCATGAAACATTGTGTAGTGAACCTCTAGCAAGATTGTTCAAATTATAGCCCTGGGGTCAAAATTGGTTCCGCCCCGGGGGTCATTGATTTTCATTATGTACATATAGTGAAAAAAAAATTTTTGTCTGAAGGTTCAAGGCATAGAGCTTTGATGTTTGATATGTCAAAAATTGGCCCTGCCCGGGGGCAGTGATTCTCATTATGTACACGTAGTAAAAATAGAAAATAAAACAAATATTTTCTGAATGGGAGAAAGCTATAGCTTAGATATTTGACTTGAAATGTTGTTTGGTGGACCTGTATCAAGATTGTTATTAAACCCTTGGGTCAAAATTATGCCTTGCCCAAGGGGACAGTGACCTACTTTCTTGTCCTTTGATGTACAGCAATGACATTTTGATCATGTGCACAGTTTTAGTTGTAAAATTGAACTTTGACCTAGATTTTGATGATGTGACCTACTTTCTTGTCCTTTGATGTACAGCTATGAAATTTGAGCCATGCGGTGGCATAGCATTTTTCTCAAATGCAATCTTGTTTTATACTTTCCTTTGTCTAAAAGCTTCTCCGGGAGCATCACCCGGTTCAACCGGTTCTTGTTTACAAAGAAAGCATGCATACAAATAAATCAAAATCAAACATATTGACATTTGATAAGGAATATGAATAAAACAGCACATTCAATTTAAAATTTACAATAGCAAACTAATAATTAAAACCATTAAGGGAGAGCATACATTGTCTTTCTTATACACATATTATAGCACTAAATAGTAAACTATTTACAAACATCATCTGATTTTTTTGCACTTTTTGACTTTGTGTTGTTTTTTATTGCTACTTTATCTAAATGGACTTTGGCCCTTTTCTGTTTACATTAGAATGAGAAAGCTTTCTTTTTGGAGCCTCTTTTTGTTTTTAAGCCAACAGTTTGTTTTTAAGCCTCAAAAGCGTTGAAACATTTCTAGCCTTTTCTTGTCATGTTTCCTCTGCTTTTTTTCTTTTGATTTACATATCTCTTGTATGTTTGATAGGAAGAAATGCAGACCTTCTTCATATTTGCAGACACTTTTATCTTGGTAATTTTAACATTTTTCTTTCTTAAGGCAGTTTTTAGCTCGACTTTTTTTTTTTTTTTTTTTTTTGAAAAAAAAAGTAGAGGTATTGTTATAGTCAGGTCGGCGTTGCCGTTGCCGTTGCCGTCTCCGTTGCCGTTGCCGTCCGAAAACTTGTACCTGGATCATAACTTTTTTATTTTCTTGCTGTATTGTCTTCATACTTGGCCACAACAACCCTTGGGACAAGACCTTTCAGTAGACCACACTAACCTTGACCTTCATCCATAAATGACCTTGACCTTCAAGGTTAAAAGTCCAATTTTTGCTTGTTCATGCTGTTATTGGCTGTTACTTTGTTATTTTTGAATAGATTGTCTTCAAACTTGAACATAATAATTTTCAAGGATATCCCTTAAAAATAACCAGTCAGACCTTGACATTCACTCATCAATGACCTTGACTTTGAAGGTCAAATTATTGAAATTTTTCATTTTTTTGGCTATTATTGGCTGTAACTTTGTTATTTTTGAATGGATTGTCTTCAAACTTGAACAAAATAATCTTCAAAGATAACTGTTAAAAATATACCGAAAGACCTTGACCTTCACTCATTAATGACATTGCCTTTGAAGGTCAAATTATTGAAATTTTCATTGTTTTGGCAGTAACTGACTGTAACTTTGCTATTTTTGAAGGGA